TTTAGTAGAGATTGGCAAATAGTTCAGTAGAGATTGTGTTCTGTTTGGGAGAAGAAACAAAACTCCAGGTATGGTTTCGATGTGGAAACCACATTATAACATAGATCAGAATCATCTGTGTAATATAAGCTCTTTAAGAGGGCTATGTGCTCTCTGTGGTGGCCCCAAGAGAGAAATGTACGTGTGTATTGATACAATGGACTAATAATGCTCACAGAAATATATCAGCTTAAGATCCAAGTTGACAAACTAAAACAAGGAACAATGGAAAATGCTTTCAGTGAGTATCTAGAAAGACAATGAGCTGTGATGATTATAAATTATTATTGTCATTTAAAAAATAAAGCATTAAATTGGCTTGTAGAGATTAAAATCTGTGAAATTTCTACAATGTTTGTGTAATCCCTGAGTTGTTCAAGTAGGATCCACAGCAAAAGAAAAAATCTATTCTGTCAACTAAACAAAAAGTTTTTAGTATTAGCGAAACCTTTTAAAGTTGTGGACTTTAAAAACTTTTTGAATTCCAAAATTATGCTGATCCATATCCACAACAGCTCATAGCTAACACCAGATGAAAGGAAAGTATTTTTCTTGGGACCCCTAGTGGCTACTCAGCTCCTGTACAAGTCTAGCCCAATACAGTTGCCATTCATATTAGTGATTCATAAAATCAACTTAAAGTAAATGTAGCAAGCTTGGAGCTTTTCACAATCTCAAATGTGAGATATCAGATGTGATATGGTGGTACGGTACAATTTCTTCAACAGTATTCAAAATAAAACCCAAAGCAACCCAAAGTAACTAAATAAAAAACTAATGATGGTGAATGGTCATGCTTTCCCCTTTCAAGACACTCATACCTCATTTACATCAAGGAACCATTCACACACACATACACACTCAAACACCAGTGTACACACTCATACACATATGCAGACACTAAGGGCAAGGTGGGCCAAGTGTCTTGCCTAAGGATACCATGACAGCCTTCATTTGTGGGAGCTGGAATCGCACCTCCAAGTAAGTGGATCTGACCGCTCAACCAATGATGTTTATATCGAGAGCGGGATTCAAACCTTCAAATTAGTGGACAAACGTACCAATTGAGCTACTGTCCCCCTTGACCCTTATCTTCCCATATTATGTGACCACATCACGATGTCTGTGTAACAACCAGTAATTAAAACTATGTGACAAAATGATCAATGTTATCATGTCCATCACACTATTCATCAAAATACTACACACTCCCACCAAGTCCCAGAGCCTCTGAAGAGCACGTCTGATCCAGGGACTGTGGGCCAAGTCTAAACCAGCCTTGGCTAGTTTAGACTTAAAATATAACTTTTCTGTTACATTAAAGACAGTACCTCTCCTCAATATATATGATACTGTAAATAAAAACATACTTTTCCACTTCTTGAAATGCTATAGTCAGTTCTATAACTTTATTACTCCTGCCTATAAAGAAGAAATCCTTAAAGGTGCATTATATTTCTGGGTCTACCACCTGCTTGTCCCAAGTTACAGATCTGTGGAGAGGTGACTCCACTCACAGTATAAGTGCAGGTATTTCAAGGTATTTTTTGACAATAAAACAAATGTAAAAATTGTATGTTTAATTTTAACATTCTAGACAAAGTAATCACATCTCCAAGAAGACAAGCATGAAGTGGATGAGAAAAGGTGCATAGTGCACCTTTAAGTTTAGTTAAAATTGTGTGTCCATATGTCCATGTGACCAGGGTGCTCCAGTGGCCCCTGATTCCCGCTTGTCCATAATCTCTTATGTACAAGTTAAAGAATGTCTTAATTAGAGCCATTTTAAAGGAGCAGGTGACGTCTTTTGATGTAACATGGCTATCCAGTGTAATTAGGGCCCGGTCTGTCAGGGGCACTCAGCCCTGATGTCCCGTGGCTCCTTCGTCCAAGGCATCTTCTGTGGATCCATCACAAGGCAGAGCGGGTGACGGATTGCCTGTCCTATTTCTGGTTTCTGCAGTTTTTATCTAGAGCTTTGACCACTGCACCACTTCCTTTTAACATACTATGTAGAATTCTAATGTAAACTTAGCAGCCAAAAATAATCTCTAAAAGTACTGGTAAATATAGCCTATAATAATTCACACAAGTAAGCCTGTCATTGTTGTCATTAGGGCATTACAAATATAAGACAGACCAATTTCATGATCTTTAAACTACAACAAAAAATATGGATTTTCTTTTTTCATTATGTCAATTATACAATTCCTCTTAGAGAATTACTTCGAGGCACAGACCTAGTTCTGTATAATGCTGACATCTAGTGGTCAGTAACACAACTTTCATTAAACTCTTCCTTAGGCACTTGCCAGACTTGCATTTTATAGTAGGGCTGCCGTCTGAATTACACAACTGCTAAGTAGCCTGTACGTAGTAGATTCTCCAGCACCTCAGATGCCCTTTTGAGATAGACAGAATTAAACGCATGGCAAATGATACAGGTATAGTGGATCTCTCGTGGTTCTGTCCAGAGGGTGCAGGACAGGTCCATCCCTGGCAATGTAGCCTGTCCACCCTATTCCTGTGTGTTGAATATTTTTGTTATTATACAACCTGAAAATTACGTTTATAATTAAGTGGGGACAACACTTTTGTAAACATAGAAATCTAAAGGCAATATTCGCCTGTAACCATCAGTATTAGTCTGTTACTCTGGTTTTATGAAGAGACTAGCTGTTAATTTGTGTTTGTTTTGCATTTAATAGGCTAATGTGTTACATAGGCGTACAGGCTCTCTGTCCTGAAATGGCCCCATAAATAAAAATGTTACACCGCCTGGACCCGCCCCTGAAAACTGATTCCCAAAAACACGTGTGTTTGCATCTGTCCCAGATCCTCTTATAAAAGAAGAGATTACATCCTCTTTTATGAATTTGGATTCTGACAGAACTCACTCAAATGAAGTGTGAACTGTATGAGTGAGTAAAAGGACAAGCACATAAACAGCATAATTTCAGAGCTAATACTATGAAAACTGACAGCCTAAATATGTACTGTCAGTTTCTAAGATGGAACAACTGGAGGCCCATTTTGTTACATTTTTCACATAGACACACATTTTAATACAATAAAACCAAATTTCTCTGGACTATGGGCTATGTGCAGGCTAGATGCTGCATTACTACCATTACCTTCGCGTTTTTCTCCACGCTCGGTGCTGAGTTTGTTGAAATCTCCGTTGACAAGAAAAGTCTCTACGATTCCACGTGAGTGCTCTTACGTAAATTTCTGTTTTGGACCAATCCGGTGTCCGCATCAAACCGGAAGTTAAACGCCATTGCCATTTGCTCCAAACGCAAACGCAGGCAGCTCGACCGCTTGGATATTTATACAGCTCTCATCGTACTTTTTATAGTAAATAGTATTATTGGTGTCAAGAGGTTCGCGACATGAAGCACAACTCGAACGTCCCGGCGTTCCTCACCAAACTGTGGACTCTGGTGGAGGACGCGGACACCAATGAGTTTATTTGCTGGAGCCAGGTAACGCGGAGTGGGGGTCAGCGTTAGCCTAGATAAGACCCAACCCACAGCTTAAATTAATTAGACAATAGCCCATACAGTCGAAGGAATCTGGCCTGTATTTCATTTGTAACATTATAATGTAATTTATGAAACAACATCAAACCGTGCTTAAGCCAAAAGGCCTTGGCTAGGCTATTGTAAACACTTCAGCTAGGTAAATGCTAAACTAAAATGCATTAGCTACCTACTAGTGTTGTACATAGACTCGATCTATAAAAGTCATAATTACACTACCTGACTTCCTGGCTAATGCTGAATTTGATGTTTGCAGGAGGGGAACAGCTTCATGGTGCTGGATGAACAGCGCTTTGCCAAAGAGATCCTCCCGAAGTTCTTCAAACACAACAACATGGCTAGCTTCATCCGACAGCTCAACATGTGTAAATATTCATTGTTCTATTTCCAGAGACGTAGCTCCAGTGACCTGTTGTGGTGTATGCAGATCCACTTCAGAGACAAACTGAACAACCAAAATGTTGATGGCTCATACAGACCAGGCTAATGAGTACTTTGTGTTCATGATTCATTATCTATCCAGTGAAAGTCTTATAACTTAATGAAATTATCATAACAGTGACCCACAGAAAATCTTAAAACCGTTCAGTAAGTGTTGTTTTTAAGCCCTTAGAACAATTCTACATTTTGAGAGGGAAAAATAAGACAGTCCCTAACGACTGAAAACACAAACATCATTGACAGATGCCAAACACAGCAATTTAAGTTTTCCAACAATTAATCACTGATTGTATAATTCACTACACTAGTCATGTCATAACAAAATGTTTATCATTGTTGTGATCATACGCTGTTATTGCAGATGGTTTCCGGAAAGTTCTGCACATTGATACAGGGATTGTGAAGCAGGAGAGAGATGGTCCAGTGGAATTTCACCATCCTTACTTCAAACACGGCCAGGATGAGCTGCTGGAAAACATCAAGAGAAAGGTGAGCGGCATATGAATATATGGAGCTTTCACTTCTCTGCATAGAACTATGGCTGATATGTTTAGTTTTGTAAACAGTTGTGCTAAAATATTATTTTTGATTAAGTTATGTAATACATTTTGTTAAGGTTTCAAATGCTCGGCCAGAAGAAAACAAGATCCGACAAACCGACCTGACAAATATTTTGGCCACTGTCCAGAGTGTTCACTGCAAACAAGAGGACATCGATGTACGCCTGGCCACACTCAAGAGGTGAGAGCTGTCTCCTCCAGGGAAACCAATACACACTTAGATTCATATGAACCACATGTATAATAGGTGAGCATTTAGCATGGAAAGATGATGAAGTGTCACTTAATTATGGATGTCACAGAGGAGAGAGTGGGATGAAAAGTTTAAATTGCGTTTGTGTTTAGGTCACACAAATTTTGGTTGTGCTTTATAGTTTTTAGATTCTACATTTTTGTGTGGGTTCAACATTAATCTACATACAAAAAAATCGCCCAGTGACTCTTGAATTGAAGATGATTGTTTTAACAATGAAATTTATAATTTATTCATTTATTTTTTGTTATAATTCTAGAGAGAATGAAGCTCTGTGGACAGAGATATCAGACCTCCGACAGAAACATTCCCATCAACAGCAGCTTATAAAAAAGGTGGGTACACTGTTTTGCTGCAGCTAATATTTATGCACAATATGTGGTTATTTAAAGGTTGTATGGAGGATTTTTTTTAGTTTCAAACTGTCAGTGAAAGATTAAAATACCATTACAGAGACGAAGCAGCTTTGTAATTATGATGACCAAAAAAAAAAGAACAAAAATTGATCAACTGTGGACGTAGTGCGGCCAGATAAACATCAGCCAATAGAAAACGAGGCTCCCTCATTTTCTATTGGCTGTTAGGTTGTCAATCAAACTCCCTAGTGTAACTGACTTGTCGGAGCGTGGGGATTACGTGGTTTACGCAGCGGTTCTTCGAGGCTTTTTCGAACTGTCGCTTCCTCGCATTTCGCACAAAGTTTGTCGCGACGGCCGACGAGAATCCACGACGGGTTCGCCGCAAAAGAAAGTCAGTTTTTGAGGTCGCTGAAAGAAGAAGAGAAGAGGAAAAGGAGCAAAGCCAAACTGAGGTGATTCTTGGAGATCTCGTCCAGCGATGGCACGACCGAAGCAGACGAAGCGTCTAAAAAGTGAAGCGTCGGTCGCTGAATTACTTCTAAACAGGTCACTTCAACAGTAATTCTGAATGCGCACAAGGACTGTCGCTGTATTTCTCTTCCCTTAAAAAAAATCCTCTATACAACCTTTAATTAACATCTTTAGATGTATTTTATATAGTGTGTTTATTTGTGTGTGTATATGTGGTTAGTCTATGTGTACATTTAAAACACACAACAAAAGATCATAACCTCATCCCTTTTTCAAAAAAATGTACTTTTACTTATGGTTATGAATGTGTGATGTGTGAGTGGGTTAAGTGGGAGAGTTGTGTGGGAGAGAGTGTGTCAGAGGTAACTGCACTGTTAAGACCTGCTGTGAGCTGACATTTGGTTAAAGGCCTTTATAGTCATAATCATTAAATGTGTCAATTGTCATGTAGTGTAACACCATTAATTCTGTTTTATTCTGTCATTATTCTTCCTTTCTCAGCTCATACACTTTCTCCTCACGCTGGTACAGAACAACCGCATCCTTAATTTAAAACGGAAACGGTAAGATACTCAATTAATTGCTATCTGCATGTCATGGTTTAATGGATGATAATTTTGTGTCCATCATGGTCTTTTTTTTTTTTTTTTTTTACATTTTGTAACAGTTTAGCTGCAATTTGTGTATTTTTTACTAATATGGACTCTGTTTTATGATGTATCTGTCACAGGCCTTTTCTTATGAACAGCAATGGCAAGAAGTCAAAATACATTCAGGAGTTATATGATGATAAAGTGAGTGTGGAGCAGGTGAGTACTACTTCATAGGTTTCAGAATAATTAAAAAATTTCTATAACAATTTGCTCATTTATCTTTTTGAATAGTAAAATGTCTTCCAAATATCACCTATAAACACGAAGTTGAAGCCCATGCATTTAAATCCCATATTCTCTCCTGTAGCCCTCTGTCAACGGTTTGAACAATGTCACAAGCTCGGACAATAGTGAAGACGTCATCATTTGTGACTTCACAGACGTGGTCGATGCCGATTTGTTGTCGGAGGCTGCGCAGGGTTCATCCAAAGGTTATGACCACAGGTGAGAGAGCAACTGAAATGTAATGAAATCCTTATGTTCTTCTCAGCCTGTTGATGTTTTACAGTACATGTTTTACTTCTCTTCTATCCTGTTTTATATCTTTTTATTTTCCTTCTCTGGCCCAATATGGTAAAGGTGACAACATGATATATGAATCCAACAGGTTCAGATGCAATGTATTCCCTGGTTACGTGCATGTACATCCTCTTTTGTGCATATTTTATAACCATATAAACCCTGTGTCTAGTGATGTTGAGATAGTGGAGGTCAACCTGAACAGTGGAGGGTTGCCTGCAGAGATGGAGGTCAGCACAGCATACACAGAGCCCAGTACACAGAGCCAGCCCTCCCCAGTGAAAAGCACTCCCATCAGTGCGGCGCTGCAGCTCAACAAACAGTGCGCCCTCAGCCAGGAGGACCCAGTCAAGCTAATGGACTACATACTCAAAGAAAACGGAGCCATCTCGCAGAATATTAGCCTACTGGGCAAGTAAGTGCAAGAGAAATAAGAAATAAAAAGCAGTGTGGGTTATCTTATTTACACATACACATTATAAATACAGTGATGATTCAATTTTACAATTTATTTACAATTTTTACAGTGGTATGTGCTAATTTCTCATGACAAATACACTTGTCCCATGAACTGTGAAAGAGTTCAGTATGGCTTTTCAACATGCTTTAGTTTACTTTCTTGTTCATTACTTTACTATATCATGCAGGCTGGAGCTGATGGATTATCTGGATAGCATTGACTGCAGTCTGGAGGACTTTCAGGCAATGCTGGGCAAACCCTTTGGTGTAGATCATGAGGTAAGTGCATCCCTCACTAACAACATGACAGGAGGACCTCTCAGATAAACTTTACCATAGAACTAGTTGCTTCTAGTCAATGCTGTTTTATTCACTACACATACAACATTTTTTAATGGAAATATCTAAAGTTAAGATTTAAAACTACATTTTTTTTTTTTTACTCTTTATAGGAAAGTGTTGGATCCAAACAGAGCACTGGGCTGCTGGACCAATCAAAGACTGAGGTCAACACAGGTGGGAATCCATATGTAAGCACATATTGATGCATTTTTTCTGATGTACTCTAAGCTCACTGCTCACTCTTTGTTCCTCACAGATAAGCAGCTGATCCAGTATACTTCATGCCCTTTGATGGCTTTCCTTGATGGTTGCTCTGCCCCTCCAGACCTGGACCTGGCTTCAGGTCCAAGCTCCACTTCCATGAGTAACCAACAGGAGGCGATCATCACGCCAGCAGAACAGGTAGACAAGCTGCCGTCTGAGCTGTTGGACTGTGTGGACTCGGTGCAGCCCAGACACAGCTCTCTGATCCGCCTGGAGCCCCTGACTGAAGCAGAGGCTAGTGAGGAGACCCTGTTCTACCTGTGTGAGCTGAGTCCTGGGCTGGAGGCAGATTCAACTCCAGTGGAGGCCATGTAAGCAGCTCAGCCTCACGGACACTGGCCTGGACTGGGGCCACAAGTTTGTTACAGAATCTCACTTCTCTTGAATGCACATAAAAGTGAAAAATCACAGTAGATTACTAGTTACTGCTTCAAGACGGCATTCCAGTGTGACTCTCTTGACCATTTTTTGCCTGTCAAAATTGCATAATACAAAAAACCAACAGTCAATTTTGTCCAGGGTCCAGTAGTGTATATGACATTTTCATAGTTGGCTATAAAGATTTCAATACTTGCTGTCATAGTATCTCTTGAACACTATAAATTCATTACTCCTATGTTGTCGGCCCACTCAGTGCCAGGGCATTTGTGGTTCATGGACTCTGCTGCCACTGTGGTCTTTGTTTGGTTTTTACAGTAGCTTTTTTTTTTTTTTTAGTTTATTACAGCTGTGGCTCTCAAATGTTGACTATTTTAGACTTAAAGGAATGACAGTGTATGTCATTTCAACATGATTTTTTTTCTACATCTAGACATGATCTGGACTAATAGACTTCATACATATTTGGTAATATTTTATTCCAAGGTGGACACAAATGAGCAGTGGATCTAGCAATACAGCACCTGTCTTTTGTTCCTGGACCAATCCTTTTTGAGGGTCCTTCTTCATTTGGATGCAAAACAAGTCTATGGATTTGTTTCACTAGCTATTTTTGTCATACCAGGTACATAAAAATTAATAGTCACCAGTCTCTTCAGGTTTGAGTCTACCCTCGATGACTAGAACAGTCATACAAACTCACATTTTATTTCACTTTATTTTATTGGTTCAAGCGCTTTGTAAAGTGTCAGTGTCAATAGTTATGTGTTCTGCATATAATTTCATGAGAAACCTGGCTTTAAATAACCGTAGTATGTTGCAGTTTTTTCAAATATATTACATTGCAATACAAATGTTGGTATTTTATCATTTAAAGCTTTAAAGCTACCATCTGTAAGTTTATTTGATTTCTCTGATGGCAGATAGGAAAACTGGCACCTTTGTTTAGGCTCACTTGTGCCCTCTGGTCTTCTTGTCAGTCCAAAGGGGGCATACAGTCAGAGCAATCTAGTTGGTGTCTAGTGGTGTTATGTGAGAATACAACGGGGGTTTGGCCAATTTAGTTACAACTGGTAACTTTAAAGTGTTAAAATACAAAGAACATATGTGGACAGTGCGATCACAAAATCGATAAACTTGCCTTGTTTGTCTGCTACAACTCTGAATATCCGTATATCAAGTGTTGAGGACTCTTGTTGAAACCTTGTCCAATGTCTTCACTTGGTGGTAATAATTTACATTGTAAAATGTGTGGTAAAATATCACTATTATCAATGTGATATAAAATGTGATTGCAAAAATAAAGTTGTAAATACTTGGTTTCATATCTGTCGCTTCATTTAGTCAAAACTTGCACAAGTTCAATCTCACGCAACATTTACTTTTGTAAGTGATTGTTTTTGTGACCACTTGTTTAACCTGCCTTGGGTCTAATTTACTGGGACAGGCTGCAATGCAAAGTTAAAATAGGAGGTACAGTATGGATACATTTTTCACTTAGTTTTAATTAATCATGTGCAATACAGTAAAACATGTCAAAATACAAGGTAAAAAGCAACCACTATTCAAAACACATTCTAGTCACTATGCAGACTATCAATACACTTCACAATGCATGTTATGTTTTTCAAAGAGAAAAGTAACAGATAAACTTGTTAGAATGTGAGGTTTGAGCATGCTGCGGGGTGAACACAATACAGCAATAAAATATAAATACTAGTTACAACCACAAGTGTCATGTAGTACACACTTTTGAGTTATTTGAGCATGCATCTTTTCTTCCCTAATTTGGATTGTTTAGGAGCCACAAAGAATACACTGTCATCAAAGCTTAGCAAGGAATACAGCCAATGACATTTTTTTATAGTGTGTGTGGAAATGTTGTGCATGAGTGAATGATTTATTTCAGTCAAAGTCTCTGTTGACAAGGATAAGTGGGGCCACCAGGGTCCACACGTAGAGGGCGATGCAGATCCAGCTGGAGCACATCTTCACCCACACCGACGGCCACCGGCTGGTCATGGTCTCGTAAGTGGAGTCAGGACTATGGAGGTTATTACAAAAAAAAGAAAGAAAAATAATGTCACAAATACATATGACTAAAAAGGATAAACTACATAGATTTGTAAAGAACATAATACAGGCACGGTTATCCAATAGAGCTATATTTCACTAATTTTTCAGTCATAGTGGCAGTGTTGAAATTGTAATTAACTACTTATAACACTTAAATGTGACAGTTTCACCTCCACATTTCCACTGACCTGTACCAGTTGGTGAGGGTCATCATAATGTATAGTGAGGCCAGAAAGAGCATGAAGTGGAAGAAGGAGTAAGAATAGGTGACACCATCCTTCTCATTGTCCACGGCTCTGTTGAGGCTCCCTGACTCCTCAAAACTGCCACTTTGAGGTCCGTCCTCGATCAGGGCCGACTCATCAGTGCTGAGGGTGAGCTTGTTCACCTGAGCATTGGAGGAGTTACGGATGCTGAAGGGAGAAAATACAGTGTTTTTATCTATCCCATAACTTATCCTGCTAAAACTTCTAAATGATTTTTGGTCACCAACGGTGAGTTAGTCTTGTAGTTATTGTCAGATATTTACCTGGAGTAAAGCACACACATAAGGAACAGGATCAATCCCACAATACCCTGGGCATCCCACCACTGCACCACCTGACCCTGAGCTGCAGGACTGGTGCTGTTTAGACCAATCATGGCCAGAAGGCTGGGATTACATTTCCTATCTGTGAGGAAAATACACTTTTAAACTCATACATTTCATTATATTTATAGAACAGATTGTAATGACCATTAGAAACCTTACCAGGTTCATTGGTCATTGCAGACCATGTCACATACATGGTGTACAGGGTAACCAGGGAGGACTGCAGCAGGCCTGAGCGGGGCTGGGACTCCTACAGACCACAGAAGACTTTTACTCAAAGGGTACTCAAAAAGCTTAAATTAAACAAATACCACATAGAGATGTTAGTGGCTGCAGTTACTTCATACACACCCTAAATCTGATTAATCTCACATTTATCACAGTTATAGGGTTATGTAAATGACATGTAAAAAGCCTCATGGTCCCTTTAATTACTCACACTATATTTAAGTAATCTTAAAGGTCCAAATTATAATCACATTTTGATGTGCATGTGAACAAGGCCACTGATATTCAAAAAGAATTTTTGTGAAGAAAGACTTGTAACAAACCTGAATCTGAGGGAGAATGGACAGGACAGAGGCTCCGATACAGAGGAACATGTTGATGCTGATGAATACTTTGTTCTCAGTGCAGCCGTCCGCATGGGTGTAATACATGTAGAAGAGGACCAGAGCAATCAGGGACAGCAGGTAGTTCACAGCAGTCACTGAAAGCAGGGCTGAGAACACAAAGCATTCAAAAGATTTCATATACATGCAATAACTAAATGCAAGTACTGTCTATGGTGATAGTTCATGGTGCAGTAACATGTTCCTTGCTATATAATATCAGAAAGAAAGACTTATATCATACCTGCATACCAGCAGCGAGAGTTCCCCTCCTCCATCTTCTCCACCCACGACTCATTCCATGAGTGGGCAAAGTCGATCAAAAGCACCAGCTGAATGAGGATGAAGCAGAAGGCTCCTGCCATGCCCACGTAGAACCACACTGCACAGCAAACACATGTCACATGTAGAGAAAAACAGTTAAATTTAGATGCACATGTTTTCATTTTGTGTAATAATCCCATATAAACATAACAAAATGCACAGTAAAACATGTTCAACAAGCTCTATGAGAAACGTGTTATAAATTTGGACATTTCTATACTGTGACATCTGTTAAAAGTAGTTCTGACTTACCAGTTGTAAAAGGGCCTTCAGAAATGAAAAATGCTCCAATGGTGATTGCAGTAGCTGCAGCAAACTTGAAAAACCAAAACCTGTTTAAAAAAAAAAAAAAAGGTATGTCATTATTATCATAAAATTGAACTAAAACAACTGGACTTACTAAACTTTTGTAGCTGTCATTATGCAATATTTAAACATTGAGACACTTAAACATGATATAATATCATAATATCTGAATAGTTCACAGTTATGCCTGTTTTGTAGTAGGTGTAATAGAGAGCACAGCATTATAATCGCTGAGTGTACTGTAATGTGTGCTGTAATGTGTCCATGTTGTTGTTGTTTGTCTGTGTATATGTCAAATTATGTGAAAAACTCTAAAGTTCACTGTATGACACAGATTCCAGTAAGACACTGACCCGTTGTGGATGGCGGCGCGTGGGTCCTGGCTGCTTTTCACACGGACCATCAGGAGAGAGAAGAGGAGGAAAAACATAGCCATGCCGAAGCACACACGGTACACGGCTTTGTACCCCACCAGCACATCACAGTTCACATGTCCCTCCACTCCTGGGATGGAGGAGCCCATCCCACCCTCACAGAAGCCTGGGATCTGCAGAGCCGCACAAAGAAATCATTTTAGAGATTTTTTTTTCAAATTAAACCTCACAATTAAAATGTGATGTTGATCTAGGAGCACACCTTCTTGAGATGGTCCTCCATACCCGGCATCAACATAATACAGGCGATTCCCACTCCCATCAGCAGGAAGAAGGCATAGATGAGCCGGGTGACTGTGGAGTTGTTTCCACTGGGACAGCATCTGCACAGCAGGCAGGGGGCACTGCCACACAGGCAAGGGATCTGCATACACATAAAACAAACATCTTATTTTCTTTTTACAAAAGCATTTGGGAGCAAAGGTCAACATTGTAGATAATGGGTTATTCATTATGTTAACAAAGACATACATTTACAAAATAACAGTAGAAAAGTAAAACAAAATGTGGTTAATCCAAAAATGTGTAAACTGTCTGTTAACTGTGAGCGTTTTTGTATTGCATGTATACAAACACTTACCACGAGATCCTTTTTGTTTTATTTACAGTAATCAGGTCTGTTCCAAAATTAAGATTGGGATCCGAGATTAAAGTCCTTCTAAGAAAAACAAAATCTAACTTCTCCACTTCTACACTGTGACCTAATTCCAAGAACAGAATATCTGAACATCTGAGTAGGTGCACAAGTGTGGGAGAGAGCACAGCACCCATTACGCAGTCTGTTTTGGGGGCACAGAGTGACGCAACAGCAGCAGCTGTTTACGAACACAGGCGCTTTTTGCGGTAGGCCCACATTGTTATTACACCTTTAAGCACATTATAAAACGTGTTAAGGGGATCCAGTGTAAACACGGTAAACACGCATCAGACCAAGGAAGGACGTGACGTAAGCTCCGCAGGTTAAAGACATGAACAGCAGTCAGTTTGGTGTTAATAGTTGAATTTAAACAGTGACACTGGAATGAAAATATACTGTAAACGGGACAATCATCGTGACAAATGTCATAGCAGAAGAACAGTTAAAACCCACTGCAGAGGAGGAGTGGGGGCCTGTTTTTGTGATGCGCAGTCATCGTCGCCTCGGACACGAACCCTCGATCAGGCCGAACCAAAACAGTCTTCACACGGTCAAACAACGACACAAAACGATACTCACCCAGCTCGCCATGGAGCACAGGCCCAGCACGGCTCCCATCTCTGCGGCCCTCGGCTCTTTGTTTGTGGATCAGACGGATTTCGTTCACAACAACACAACGGCCATGTAATGTGGCTCCTTCTGCAAGTACAGCCGCTATAGAGCCCCAGACTGCCCCTGCTGGAAGGTCTGGGCATTACAGTTCACATGATCGTGTTATGAGTTTTCTTTCTGCTGTGTGGAAGAGCTAATATTTATGTAGCAAAACACATTAAAATACAATTATCAATGTTTGGAGTATCTTTACAGAACTGTGATGAACTGCTACAGACCAATTATGTTCTAGAGGCTGTGCAATACTAGTCTAACTGCTGAACTGAAAGCCAGACTGATCAATCTCACTTTATTTGTATGGATGGATTTAAAACTAGGCTCTGCAGTGAATCATAAGTTGCATTTGTAAAATGTCTGTCTTAACATTTCTCCTGTCTTTTCACAATGCTTCACAGAAAAAACAACATATTTTGATCAACAGTGGATATTTTAATTTTTAGACAGGAACAATTATCAAATACACAGTTATATATAGATTAAAACTCTGGTGTCTCTGCAGTAAAAAAGTATTTTTGATAACTGATAAAGCCATACAATGGGACATTAATATAATCATGACCATACTTTAATTTGACAATTCTTCACATTTGTCTGGTAGTTTCCCAAAGTTTGATGGTTGTTTCACTTAGCAAGTACAGTCTCCATTCCGATGTCAGTGTATGCAAACACTGTGTTGACAAAATTAGTCCATAAGTGCGGTCATTACTTTCCCAGTCGCTGCTGACATGATCCATATCTGTGAAGAGCCCCCAATAAATCATCATAGGAGACATTTCTATGGGTTGACAGGGAGCTGTAGACACAAACAATAGAGTTCAACACTGTTTATTCAGAGACCTGCATAAAAGTAGCACCGTTACAACTAAAAGAGGCCCAAAATGACCAGGGATGCAAACGATGATTAGCATACTAGTCAGCTATTTATTTTAATTTTTTTTCAAATTATAATTTCTATAGAGTTTTTTTTTTTTTTTTACTATATTTTTTGGCTAAAAGAGGTTAAAATATGGTGACTGAAGGCTAGAAGGGTGTATAAGCATACACAGCACATGAATGAAGAGAGGGTTTAGTTTTGAGAAAAACAAATAAACCTACATAAATTCTGTGAGTCTGATGTGCCAAGGAAGGAACCCCAGTGTACTGTCGACAGGACCCAGCTTCAACACCAGATCGGGGTCTGGAATATTCTTGAACTCTGGAATAAATAAGACACTGAATTCTTTATACTATACTATGATATATGTTATGTTTTGTAGAGTTTACTTAGAAGACAAACATGAACAACAAAAAGCATTGTAGCTCCTTCGAAATAAATCTAACCATTACAGTTATGACATAGAAAATATGATTATATTTGTCAGTAAACAGAAACAATAGCAGATGAGAGTTGATGTACCTCTGAGCAAAGAGTCCAGCATGGAGACACTGATGTCTTTGGGGCTCCTCTCTTTGTTTTCCACAGAGCGACAAAGATGTTGGGCTGCCTGCACGATACTCTGTTTCCCATCTTCAGGAGACAGCACACTGACTACAGGCCTACATGATACCACTGTTCACAACGCAAGACAAGAGCAACATCATCAGACACTCAGGTAGACAGATGTGGAACAATGCATATAAGGCCTGTCAATGGCATGTCTCAAAAGTATAAAGTATGTAATACATTACAGTTGCTGATTTGGAGATATGCTAATTATATTGCATCTATAGCTGCAATTAAAACTATAAGCTGCAAACAGACTTGTAATATTGACATTTTATTTTACTATGAGTTTGTTGATATGTCTGCACTGGTATGCTTATGTGTTACAGGAATAATCCAGCAAATTAGTGAGACTAGAGATTTTTGTTTTTGTCAATATCGCCCACCTCTAGCCTTACATTTTTCAGGGGTCAGAGCATTGCTTTTGCCAGAGACATCTGACTGGTGTGACCAGTCTCTTATCAGCTGTGGTTCCTAAACATGACAAAGGCTGAAATATTTAAGGTAATGAGCCAACAGCTTTATATTGCCTTTTTAGTAAAATACAAACAGAAGAAGAAAATATAATATCTTACTTATATATTTTAATATAGGGATAGAATTAGGGGTGTGCAAAAATATCGGAATATTGATATATCGTATTGTTTAATGTGATGATACAGTATCGATATCGTGGGCTACTGTATCGATATATCACCAACAGTATTTTTACGTGGTTTACTAAATTATTTTGTTACAGTGCTACAGTTTTGTTGCTTGTGGAGTGAAAGGAAACTCATTTATTCGACACATTTGACATTTCTGACTCTGTTTTGAGGATTAAAATGTTTGTGTTTCATATGAACTTTGCACAAGAAGTGGTTTAACAAACACTTTTAGTATCACAGCCATGATTTAACCTTTATTATTTTATTTAACTGTATCGAATTGATTTGAAATATATCATATCGAATCGAAAGTGCACTGTATCGAGATATGTATCGTATCGTGGCCTATGTATCGAGGTATGTATCGTATCGGCAACTTCTTAATGATACCCAGCCCTAGATAGAATACTGTCCAATAATGTGATTTTCAATCAGCTTTGTAACAATGTCATTATACAGAATCTGTGTCCAGTAATATTATTTCAAGATGGACATTTTACTGATTACAGCACCATTACCAGTTAGCCCACTCAGTGAAAATAGTGTGATATATTATGTAGTGCAAAATGGTTGGTAGTAGTATATTAAATGCCTACCATGTTTTTCAGAGCGATTTCTCAGGAACTCTACTTTTGACCCCTCTATTCCCAACAGGTTTCTCTGCAGTTGGGTTATTTCATGCATGAGGACAGAGTTGTTTTTCTGGAGAAGACCTGTAATAAAACAATAGTCACAATTATAGTTCAATGGTTTCTACAGACATGACATACATTTAAAGACCATAGTGTTACCAAAATCAACTACACATTTGTATAAACCATGATATACTATAGCAATTGTTGTAAATCTGTAAACGACAAGTTCCTATGATGTGTTGGCAGATATTTGTCCCATTGTGGGACAACAACGTCCAATTGTCACGGGGTAATTGAAGTAATGATAAACCACACAGCCGCGCCTTACAGGACACTCGTACCATTGTCGTCGTACACGCTGACATATGATATACCCATGGCCATGCACCACACAACCAGGTTGGCTACATCCGTGTAGCTGGGCTCCTCGTCCACCAGCAGAAGTCCGATGTGCACCGGGAGTTTCTCCAGACTCTTCCCGTCATGGAGGAACAGAGCCTGGCGCTCAGAGGGACTGTCCGCTGTCAGTGCCTTGGCCTCCGAGTTGCGATGCATCTTATTCTGTTCCTCCGGGAACTCCGTGAAAGCCACCGGCAGGAGCAGAGAGGCCAGTGCCCGTTCCCACAGGCGGCCTTTAAAGCACCGAGTGCGAGCGCGGAGCCAGCAAACGAAAGCCCTGTTCATATGAACCAGGAAGAGCAAGAGCCGCCACAGCAGGCCGTAGAGCAGGGCCATCGCTGAATGCTCGGACTGTTTTATTTTATGTTATGAGCAGAGTAATCCGGTTACCGACAGCTCACTGCTTCTAGCGCCATCTTCGCCTGCGGACCACCCTCGTGATACACGGAGCGCGCTCATTGGACAGAACCGGCTCTCTTCTATTTCTACTCTATATAGCGGCTTGCTCTGGGCGGGCGGGCTTAGTGCTGCCCCCTACAGTACACATATCTACGTGCATTTCACATGAATCCTGCTGCTAATTAGAAGTACACAGACAGATTATTCTACTACTAACCCATTATAGTTCTATGTACTAACCTCATGCTGCTAACCTTAACCCCTAACCCTAAAATGTAAGATACGTGTCTTAAACAGCATAGTGCTGCTGTGCTGAGCTCTTAGCAAATAAATACATATAATAATATAATACAAACTCTCGTAGAGACAAAACATATAACATAAACATAAAAATATATAACATAAATAAATAAATAAAATTAATCACATCAAATTAGATTTGACCCAGAAATGACCAAAATCTTTCCATAATTTGTTGCGATTCACAGAGGACACTTGGCACAGGTCTGCAGCTTTAAAGATTTTATCTTTAAAGGTCTTAATATAATATTATAGGTCCACGGTGTGACTCTGCAGCCTTTTTGTGGCCTTTTTATCGTCGCAGTGACTATCACATCCAGAGGGGGGCAGTAGCGCACTAAAAAAGTTTGCACCTGCCTTCGATCAGCAGAGAAGTAGAAGTGAGTTTGTGCAGAGCATCATCATGGCGGACACCAGAGAGAAGGCGCTACAAGACTACAGGAAAAAACTGTTGGAACATAAAGAGGTGGACGGGAGATTAAAAGAATGTGAGTATAAGAAATTATTGCACTCTCCGATCCAGTGCTCCCGATATCTTAATGCCTCATTCCTACATCTTTCCCTGGTGACAGCTGACAAGCTACCTGCTAGCAAATGCTTTGTCATGCCGCTGCTTTCTCATTCAAACTGGCTCTAATCGGAGCATTAAAATCACTAAAATGGTTTAATGGTGTCGCGTTGTATTGTTAATTGAGATGTTATTTGCTAAAAATAATTTATGTCAACCTCGTTTGTGATCAGAGCCAAATGTAATCCACGTAGCTTGAGCTAATTTTGTATTTGGTTAACATCGTGTTGTTTGTGTTTTTGTTTCAGTGAGAGAACAGCTGAGAGAACAGACAAAGCAATATGAAAAATCTGAAAATGACCTTAAGGCTTTGCAAAGTGTTGGACAGGTAATTACAATGCACACGATCCATGTTAAATTAAATTTGTTTTGGTGCTGTTGACATTCAGGAATTATTAGTATGATAAATATTTTTCTTTAACTGGTAAGCAACACATTACGTTTTTCATTTATTGTCTCCCTTCCCTTTTCATGGACTTTACAACTCCCATCAACTACTTGTAGAAGTGTTGTATTCACATTAGCATAAGAAAACTAAATTAAACACAAACACATACACACACACACACATACACACACACAAACAGTTAAATTACCAGCAGAATCATTTTATAAACATTTGTCTTATTCTCTACAGATTGTCGGAGAGGTGCTTAAACAGCTTACTGAGGAAAAATGTAAGTTCGCTGAAGCTACACTCAAAACTCAGATTCACAATGTTCAAGACGTATTTCTAGAAATTTAATTATGATTTGTTTTCTGATTTCAGTTATTGTAAAAGCTACAAATGGTCCAAGATATGTGGTCGGATGTCGTAGACAGGTAACAACAGCGAAACGCACAAACTGTACAAAATTTCAATTCACATATCGGTACTGATTGGAGCTTTTTCACTCTTCTCCAGTTGGACAAGTCTCAGTTAAAGCCCGGTACCAGAGTGGCTTTGGACATGACCACTCTCACAATAATGAGGTGAGATTTATGTTATTACCAAATGCTGCATAAGAAATGGATTGGTCCTTTTCATTAACAGATTATTTGTCTGTGCAGGTATCTGCCCCGGGAGGTGGACCCTCTCGTGTACAACATGTCCCACGAGGACCCTGGTAGTGTTTCCTACTCAGAGATCGGTGGCTTAAGTGAACAGATCCGAGAACTTAGAGAGGTAAACGGGTTCTTATAAAATATACTGATACTACTTTTTCTACAAATGTTTAATATGCTATGCTTTTACGTCTGTTTTTGACAGGTCATTGAGCTGCCCTTGACGAACCCTGAACTTTTCCAGAGAGTTGGGATCATTCCTCCTAAAGGCTGTCTACTTTATGGACCACCAGGTTAGAATTACAAGATAATATATAGAGAACTCAATCATTACAAGCCTAAACCAATTTGTGACTGAATGTATCGATGTGTTCTGACTTTTTCTGATAACATAACAAATATGGGCTGTTTTATTGAACATAATTGGCAGAGAAAAAAAACATTTGCTTAATATTCTGGTCCTTACACCAAGTACTTTAAGTGTTAATTTAAATCCATTGTAGTATGATGAAAAATAACACTGAAACTTGAGTAGTGTATCTAATTTTGATTTGGTGTCATAGGCACTGGAAAAACTCTTCTTGCAAGAGCAGTGGCCAGTCAGCTGGACTGCAACTTCCTCAAAGTGGGTTTGAACACATTTAATTTTTAGACTTGTATAGACAGAGGCTCACACTCTGTGTCGTGCAGGTGGTGTCCAGCTCCATTGTTGACAAATATATTGGTGAAAGTGCCAGGCTCATCAGAGAGATGTTCAACTATGCCCGAGACCATCAACCCTGTATCATATTTATGGATGAAATTGATGCCATTGGTGAGTAAATGCTGCCAGATGTTCTATTTTATGTATGCTATTAAATACTTTTTTAATACAATAATGTGTTAAAAAAAAATTAAATAAAATTATGGTGAGCCTCCATTTGGAACATATTTTTATTAAAGTATTTACTCTTTACAGGTGGGCGACGCTTTTCTGAGGGCACCTCTGCCGACAGAGAAATCCAGAGAACTCTCATGGAGGTCAGACATTATTACATTAGCCCAAGTCTTTACATTTTAACACAGCCTTTTATAGAAGTAGCAATACATTTATTTTTGACATATAGTGCATATGAAATTCCTATTTTATTAGACAATTAAACTTAATGTTAGTCAGTTCAAAGGGCTTTCTGTAGTAACTTTTACCAGTTTTTAAAAATGTCCCTTGGATGGAACTACAAAGTAGAAGATCCTACTCCACATTAAGCAGTTCATGGGATAAATAAAAGAAATCAGAAATGTCCTTCACTTATTGCCACTTTTTTTGTTGTCATCTTTAATAGATTAATGCATATTAAATTTAAATAGAAATGCATGGGATTACTTAATATTAGTTTTAACTCTAACTGTTCTTGTGTAGCTTGCATTTTAATGCTGATGTTTATCAACAGCTTCTCAACCAGATGGATGGCTTTGACACGTTGCACAGAGTTAAGATGATCATGGCCACAAATAGGCCAGACACTTTGGACCCAGCTCTGCTGCGTCCCGGCAGGCTTGACCGTAAAATCCGTAAGCACTCATTTTAACACACTGATGCATAATGACATGAATACAATTAGTGTTAACACGTTTGTGGTTTCAATGTTTTATTTGAGCAGACATAGAGCTACCAAATGAGCAGGCTCGTCTGGACATCCTGAAGATTCACTCCAGTCCAATAACTAAGCATGGAGAACTTGGTAGGTCAACTTACAGGATATTATTTGTTAATGGTAGTTGATAATTGTCTCAAAAAGATTGAAAAATGCATTTTAACATTTGTTTTAGATTATGAAGCCATTGTAAAGCTGTCTGATGGTTTCAACGGAGCTGATCTGAGGAATGTGTGCACAGAAGCAGGTTGGCCATGGCTCTTGTGAACTCTTCTTTCATTGATGTTGTTCTTTTTCTCACATTGTCTGTGCCCTGTGTGCTGCAGGTTTATTTGCCATCCGCTCGGACAGGGAATATGTGACACAAGAGGACTTCATGAAGGCCGTCCGCAAAGTGGCTGATTCAAAGAAACTTGAGTCCAAGTTGGACTATAAGCCTGTATAAAACATATGCTACAACTTTTTGCTTTGCTTTACTGTGTCAATGCATTTTGTTGAAATGTATGCCTCAGTTTGTATGTTATACTTGGGAGGCAGAAAGTTTTCCATGTTAAATTCTATACTCTTCTATATGCCTTCCATTGGAAAGCATTAATAAACTGAAGTAAAAGGTCTATCTGTCTTTTACTTTATTACTACATATAAAAGATATATTGACATTTTTTATGTGAAAACTGATGAAACTGTTGCTTAATGACAAAGTACTGATTTAGACATAAACTTGATAACAGAATTGTTAAATATCAGTCTTACTCTTTTTACCTTGTAATTCTCACCAGGCATGAATCTTTGAGATTCAAATAATATGTTAATTCTGTCAACAGAAATATTTAAAAATCAAACAAACTGAGATGCCTCAGTGCTCAGACTCCACATTGAACTGCAGTTAAATAAAGCGCATACTCTGTAATGTTTATTCTTAAAAACTATAAATAAGGTTCCATGAAAAGAGAACAGTCCTTCTAGATGTACCTATATGCCTGTAGGTACATCCTAAATGCTGTTTGTTTCACTGGGTCTCAAGATAAATGACTCTATGATGAAGGCTCTACAGACCGGGCAGTGCTGTAAGTGCAGCACACAGTTCTCACACACACACGTGTGTCTACAGGGGAGAAGCACTTTGTTCACTTTGGCATTCTGACACACCACACAGTCCCGCTCGCTCCTGTCCGACCACTGCTCCTCCTCAGAGTCCAGTTCTGGTCCGTTTGGGCTCACGTCTGTACTGCTGCTGGTACTGGGCCCTGCTTTGTCTTCCTCACTGTCTGCAGACATGAAGAGAGGCTGCAAAAACGGATGAGGGGGTTTTAGTGAAAGCAGGCTGCAGTTTATGTAAAATCCAAGCCCTGAAATGGCTTTGCCACCATTACCCCCATTGACCAGAACTAATAAGAACTTTAGATGTATCTCAGTCTGTGAAATCTACAATTTATGAAAAATTCACAGATCCAACATTTTGGTTTCATACACCTACATTTAAGTAAATTTGTACTTCATAATTTCAAAAGGATTTACCTTTAACTCATACATGCTTCCCTGTGCAGTAAAAAGGTACTGAAAAAGTGTGCGTGCTGAGAGAGTGTACTTGTCATCTGGTACGTGAATGACTGTCACACTGGCCACCTGAAACAAAGATAATATGAGCATGTCTATTATACACAGTGAAAGGATGAATAAAGGAATAGGACTGACAATGTTGTAATTGTCAACAGCCTCTTGCTCGGCCAAAGTCAACACAGCCACTAGGGGGTAGCGCTGCCTTGGTAGAGGCCCAAAGTCTGTGATCTCCTGTTCTGCAGGGATGTGTGTGAAGAGCTCAGTCCAGTTTGTATCACTAACTCTGAGAGAGGCTTTTTAAAGAAACTAAGCAGGAGAAAATAAAGATAACTGATCATCTCAAAGAATTTGGTAACTGCAACTTTTAAATAAACATATTAACTAAATGATGATAAATAAATAAATAAATAGATGACTACCACACTTGCCGGCTCCATTGTGTATTGTATTATAAAGGATACTGAAACTTTTGGCTGTAGTTATACTGAAAGGCTAAAGCCTCCTGGAAACACTGCAGACTGCTGGGCTGTGGGCTGTGCTGCAGGGCCTTTAGAGCTGCCTGAACAGAAGAAGTGTCACAACCCCAGAAACAGCTCAGAACAGAGGATTCAAGGCAGCGAAGTCGCAACCACACCCCATCTACAGGAAACAGTTACAAAAGGTTAGATACTTAAAAGGTAAGATAGACACTACATGTAAATAAATCAATATTCTCACCAGCCACAGAGGCAGGTTTACATGCCAGCTCCAGGGTGAAGGGGTTGGTGACCCGAACCATTTGCTTTTCTGGAGTTGGGAGAACTGACTGTTCTTCATCAGAGTTTCGAAGAATGGCATGGACATCAAAGCCCACCCTTAACATACAAGGAAAAAAAAGTAAATTTAGTCAATGCTTTGTAATAATAATTGTGTTAGGGAAAAGAACTGCTCCAGACTGAAAAATAAATAGGACAGACAGTGTCACATTATTTTACAGTAGTTTATTTAAAGAGTAATTTTATTTCTTTAAGTTTGTCTCTTTTTAAATCCTAATAAAGAATTGTTATAAAGAGACAACATGTTTGTTCATTTGCCTGTGTGTGGTAATCTGGTAGTAGTAACCAAATTCTGACAGCTACGCGAATTCCACCGATATTAAGGGAACAAAATCGAAACGCAAATACGATACAACTGAGAATGTTTTCCCCTTGAATAGTTTATCTCATGTGTAGTTTATATGTTCTTCTTATGCTAATAAAATAAGCTAACGACTTACCACCCAAGTACCATTGCAGCCGTAACAACGAAGCATAAAAACACAACACTAATGTAAAAAAGTGGAGAATATTCATAAAGAGTCACCAGGAAAACCGCCACCATTGTTTCCTATGTAATATTTTTGACGAGATATCAGCTGCTGAAGACGCTGTCAGCTCAAGAAACACCGCAAATGTAAACACGTAGATACCGCAGCGCTGTGCTACATCACGCAGACGCGACAACACGGCGGCCATGTTGGGACTGTCTGATTTGAATTAATTCTAACATGTTATTAGTTTTATTTTATTGTATTCATATTTCTTGTTCAGTTAGTTGATAGTGTAATAATTGGTGAGTTGTTGATTTGAGTTTTTTTGTAATTGTTATAATAGATCTATATACTTCACTCTCCACTCCACTCCACTGACCTACAGGTTGGCTGGTGTGATTCCAGCTCCCACAGATGAATGCTGTCATTGTGTCCTTGGGCAAGACACTTAACCCACCTTGCCCCTAGTGTCTGCGTACACTGGTGTGTGAATGGGTGAGTGGTTCCTTGTTGTAAAGCGCTTTGAGTGCCTTGAAGGTGGAAAGGCGCTATAGAAAAATGTGACCATTTACCATTTACTTTTAATATTCTTGTATTAAAAACAGCAACAAGTTGTTTAGTTCTGAACATTCCTTATCTTTATTTCCCACTTGATGCCCTGTCTTCAACTTCCCAGATGTACACAAAAATAAAACTCTCATAACAGAAAATCAGTGCACAATGCCAGTGGTCACCATTAGTGTACAACAACATTTAGAGATTTCTTCTAACGCAATACAAATACACCATAATAGTGATGTGGAGACAAAATAATCTACCAGCAGCCCATTCAAAAATGTAGATCCTTTAGCTTTACTGTTTTATACTGTGAAAAAATAAGACTGTCTGAAATCCCTATTTAAAAAAAAAAAAGAAAGAAAGAAAAGGTCTGAAGCAGTTCAATGGAGATCTCAACAAGTCATCACAACTAATAAGGGCTTTGGTTGAAAAGACAAACATTTAAGCGGAATGCGACAGTGAAACAAAAATTTATAGACCTAGTGACATGAGAACCAAAGCTGTATACCATTATATGATATAATTAACTTACCACTGATTATTAATGGACTAA